GCTGTAAACGGAATTAAGACTTGGAAAAAGTTCAGACTAAGGACTGCTTAGCTAAGGAGTTGACAAATGCTAGGGGCACAAAGCAGATTAAATTCTATAGTCTATGCTGAACTCAAACTAAGTGCTGCGTTTTTTTTTCTTCGGGGGGGGAGGGGGCTAGGGGAGACAAGACACATCTGGTGGTGCTCAGGGCTTATTCCTGGCTCTGCACTCAGGGATCACTTCTGGTGGTGCTGGGCGGCCATATGGGATGCCGAGGATTGAACCTGGCTGAGTGCAAGGCAAATACCCAACCCAAGGGGCTATCTCTGGCCCCAAGGTATTTTTAAAAGGTGTAGATGTGACCCTGATTTAGACCCTGACCCTAATCAAAGGTCATTTGCTTTCCTCAGGTGAAAGTTGAGGCCATCAGCAAGTAGAGGGCCCTGGGATAAGTTCTCCTTGTTATCCATTACTATCGTTGCTCACCCACGAAAGATTTAGTGTCTGATATTCTTCCTCTTCTTTTTTTTTTTCTCTTTTTGGCCACATCCTGCAGTGCTATTCCTAGTTCTGAACTCAGGGATCCTCCTAATAGAGTTTGGGGACCACGTGATACTGAGGACTGAGTCCAAGGCTTCTGCATGCAAAGCCAAGTGCTCCGATCCTTTGAGTTCTCTTCCCAGCCCTTTAGTGTCTAGTCTCTGAGCTCAAGGAAGACCCTTCTCAGCTTCCTAACATAAAACAAACAAAAATCTCTGCATTGTTCTACCCAAAAAATTAAATGAAGAAAAACATTTTGAGATATTGTACTTAATACAGTTTGTGTATTGTAAAGCATTACTTCGACAATAGGATAAAACATAAGTCAATGTACAATAAAGATTAAAAAATAACTCAGTGCTCACATTTTAATTAACTCTAGTTAATCATTTCTATAAATTCTACTGGGTAACACCAGAAGTTTTCTTTCAGTATTGTTAATCATGTGGAATTTTCTTATTGTTGTTGCCACGCTGGGGGCCCACACCCTGGGTTGTGGCATTGGTTGTTGCACTTGTATAGTGCCACGGTCACACTTGATGTGGGCAATGCCAGGGACCAAAGTTGTAGCCTCACATGCAAGGCAGATGCTCTACCACTGAACCACCCCTAGAATCTGAAAGTAACATGAATCATGGAGAAATGCTTAGGGTTTATTTCACTTATAAAAATCCTGGAGGGGCCTAATAGTACAAGGCAACCCAGCTGCCTTGCATGTGGTTAACCTAGATTCTGTCCCTGACACCACATATGGTCTCTCGAGCACTGCCAGGAGTGATCCCTGAGCACAGAGCCAGTTGACCTTAGCACCATCAGGTATAGCCCACAAACCAAACACTAATAAATAAAAGTATCACTGTGTCACTGTCATTCCACTGTTCATCAATTTACTCGAGTGGGCACCAGTAACGTCTCCATTTGTCCCAGCCCTGAGATTTTAGCAGCCTCTTTTTTATTTATTTATAATAAAAGTAAATAACAGGAATATAATCATTTAAAAATCCTGGGCCAGGGAGCTAGCTTAGAGTGTTGGAGCTCATACTTTGCATGCAGGAGGCCTGGATTAAATTCCCTCCACTACATGGTTCCCTGGGACCCCCAGCACCAAGCCAGGAATTGCCACTGAGCACTTCTGGGAACGGCCCAATACACAAAAACATAATAAAGGTCCCCCAAAAAAGAGAGCCATAAAATAGAGGAATAAATGATCCTATTGAAGGAGGGGAAAATTCTTTCCCAGAAAAATACTTACGTTGTACCACTAATATCAGTCATGAGTCACTAGTCAATTCCAAGTGCTAAAAAATGGGGTGGGAAAAAAGAAAAAAATAAAATAGAAATAATTATCTTCACCTACCCTTTCTTTCAAATTTAGTTTACTTAATACTACTGTATCCCAGGCTGGAAAGAAAGTACAGGGGTTAAGGCATTTGTATCACAAGCAACCAACCTCAGTTTGATTCCCAGTAGTACCACATATGGTTCCCCAGTACCACCAGGAGTGATAGCTGAGCAGAGGAAGAACTCTGGAGCATCATGGATTGTTGCCCACCCCATCCTCTCAAGTAGCACTATATCTCAAGGATGTAAAATGTCCAGTACCACCCTTGTGTGCTCCCTTGCTCATAAACTGAGATGACTGAAGTTTACCATACTGTGGTCTATTGCACTTATTTTGGCAAGAGACCTCAAATTCATCACATTCATGATTCACCTCACCTTAAATCCTTATCAGTTCAATTAGATACATTCTGAAACAATTTGAAGATGTTGAAATGTGAGTAGACATCTTCAGATCAAATTGGTTTTAATATGAATCCGTCCAATTTTCCTTCTACGCCTTCTAACATTGTCAGGAAAGGCCAGAGGCGTTTCAAAATTCTTTCATTTCCCATGACTCATCCCCTCCCATGGAGATTTGTGCTATATATTCCCTACTTTGTCGGTCTTTTGTTGAAAATCCTTTAACATGACTCCCTCACTACACACACACACACACACACACACACACACACACACCTTTTTTTTCTTTCCTGCTGAGGTTTTCAATTTGCTCTATCTTGAACTGTGTGAAGAAGGGATTGAACTCCCAACCTTTGAAACCTCTTAATACTTTGCTGAGTGATTAAGAAAGCTGTTTGGACTTTAGCCCATTTGGAAATGCCTTTGCTAGCTCAACCATCCCCATTTTAAGGACCAAATACTTATTTTCCTAAAAATTCAAACTCTTTTGGAATATTTTCCTCAATAGGAGGCCCTGAGTTCAGTCCTCAGCAACACACTCTCGCATTATACACACATTATACATTGATAATATGCAACTATACACTAAGACATATATACATGCATATAGTATCTAAACCCCCCCCCCATGAGCCCAAAGTTGGCAGTGTTCAGGGAACCACAGGGGGTGAGGGAGACTGAACTTGGATGGGCAATGTGCAAGACAAGTTCACTATACTATCGCTCCAGCCCCTAAAAACAAGGCTAAAGTTTTGTAATTAATTAGTGGTCAGTTTAGAGAACTTTTTGTAGATCCATTTTAAAGTTTAAAATGGAGGGGGTCGGGGGGAGGCATGGCATGGGCATGCAGCAGTGATCTGGCTTACTCCTGGCTCTTCATTCAGCGATCACTCCTGGTGGGGCTCGGGCGTCCTTATAGGATGCTGGAGATCAAACCTAGGTAGGCCTGGTACAAAACAAGCACCCTACCCGCTATACTACAGCTCTGGCCAATAAAGTAATTTTTTTTCTCTTCAGTTTTTGGGCAACATAGGCTGTGCTCTGGGCTTATTCCTGGCTCCATGTTCTGATATCTCTCCTGGCAGTGCTCAGTTGACCATCTGGGGTGCTGGGGATTGAACTGGTTCTGTCACATGCAAGAAAAGCCCCTTACATGCCTTACTCTCCGGCCCTTAAAATAAATTTTGACCCACTTTGAAATATAGGGAAAAAATAACTGTATTTTATTTGGGAGGGGGAGGCGCACTCCCATTGTTGCTGGGGGTGGGGGGTCATGGTGTCTAGAATAGAATCCCCATTTCCTGCATGCAAAACACGTGCTCCAGCAGGTTGAACTGTCTCTCTCTGGCCCCAAACTTAGTTTTATTTGAGTCATAGTATTGTCTTTTACATTGCTTCCTGACACCATTCGCCCAACCCCCCCCCCACCACTCCCCAGCACTTTACAAGTATAAATAGGAATCATCGCCATAAGGCAGCAGTTTGGGGGTGAAATTCTTCAGGGAAGCCAAGACACAGTGTGACTGTGGTAGTCCTCTTAACATCACAATCTGCTTCATGATCGAGAGCCGTCCTGATAACTCCCGCACGCCCTCGCGGTGAGCCTTTCGAATAATTCAGACAGGCCAAAAGAAAAAAAAAACCAACAATTTAGAAACCATGCAAGAATAAGACCCCCGTCTCCCCCAGTCCATCAGACCAATCCATCAGATTTTGTGTCCTTGCCTGGGGCCAGGGAGGGAAAGCCGGGTGTTCACCGCTCAGTGAGCCCTAAATAAGAGCTCTGGAGAGCGTGTCCGCCGCACCTCCCGGGTGAGTTTTGTCTCCCCCACGCTCTGCAACGCTGCAGCGCACAGTTGTACCTAATGAACCCCTTTCCCATTATCCTCGGTTCATTCCATTCCCCTTTCCTTGCCGTTGGTTTCTACCTACTTCTTTTTTTTTTTGGTCTTTGGGCCACACCCTGCGATGCTCAGGGATGAGTCCAAAGGCTCTGAGCTCAGGGATTACTCCGGTCGGGGATCAAGGGTGGGAGGACCACTTGGGTCGCCGGGGATCGAACCCTAGTCGGCTGCGCGCAAGGCAAGCGCCTGACCCGCCGTCCTATCACTCCAGCTCAGCTCCACCGACTTTTAGAAACTCGAAGCAGCAGCCTCGAGTTTCCGTTCCACCCTCCCGGTCGCTGTAATGATGCCGACCTGACTGCGCTTTAGCCGCTAGCTGGTGTCTCGGGGGTGGCCTTGGGGTGCGCCGGGCCCGCGGCCCCCTCTTCCTCCTTCTACCCCCGCACCAGCTCACACGTGCTGGACAGCCGGGAAGATAGCGGGGATGGACGCTCGCCTTGCGCCTGGACACCCGGAGCGGCGGCCAGGCCGGGGTCTGACTTCCCCTTCCTTACCAGGCGAAAGCGCGATCACCCCAAGAAATCTCTCCACCCAGCGGCTCCGTGGTCCTCGGTGGCCGCGCGCAGGCGGACCGAACCCTGCCGCGAGGGAGGTGGGACAAGCCCGCGGGGCGGAGCCACCACCGCGCACTTAAAGAGCCGGCCGGGCCCCTGCCGCGCGATCTGCGCTGCCGCAGCGTCTCCGCGAGCGTCGGCCGCCGACAGCCGCCCGCCCGCCCGCCCGCCGGGTCGCCCGGTCGCCAGCCGGAACGCAGGACGCGAGGTGCGCGCGCTCGGGCACGGGACACGGGCACACGCGCAAGGGAACCAACGCCGCGCGGACGAACGCGCGCCGGGCTGCTCCGCGGCGGCGCTGCTGGAGGGGGAGAGAGTGCCGCGCGGGGGGCTTGTCTCCCCGGCTTGGTGAACGAAAACTCTTAACCTCACCCCCAAAGACGAGGCGCAGGAAAGGTAAAGACCGTCTTTTCTGAGGGGTGGGTGGTGGGTGGGTGGGGATTTGCTTAAGGGAACCCCCCTGACTCTTGAAGCGTCTGCGTTTAAGCCACTGCCGGCTTGGCTGCACATTGCAGAACCATCCCCTGGTTTTGGAAGCCCCACATCCCTTTAGGGGGAGAATTTCCAGCCCGCCTAAGCGGGTACAGTTCTATTTTTGTAATTCCAGATCCGCCAGTCTCGCTCGACTCCGCCGTTCATTACACTTTCCTTGTTTGTTGCAAGCACAAGTTGCAAGAAAGTGTCAAATCTAGAGGACTGTTTTGCCGTTTTCTTATTTGCCGGTGTCTTTTTTCTTCTTCTTCTTTTTTTTTTTAAAGCGGGTAGTATCTTACTTCGGAAAAGGAGGTTTTTATTGGAAAGGCTGTCTCCAAAGATACCAAAACCCCTAAGCATTTCGAGAGATACCTTTCGGAGGTTGAAATCCTACGGAGAAAGATGGAACAGGGAGCCAGGCATCGCAACCACGCCGAGAAGAACCAGCCAGGTGCGAGCGAGCCAGAGGCCAGCTCGGACGCCGGCTCCGGAGGAGGTGGAGTAGCCCTGAAGAAGGAGATCGGATTGGTCAGTGCTTGTGGCATCATTGTAGGTGAGTCCTACGCCTTCGCACGCCCGGTGCCCAGCAGCCCGGCCTCTCGCAAGCACTTTCTTTCCCATTTCCCTAGAACAGGATTTTTTATTCACCTGTGGCAGCACCCACTAACGGTTAAGTTCAAGAGATGTAGGGAGTCTCTTCCTCCGAGCCCGATGGAGCAGCCCTGCCTGGGGTTGGTAGAAAGAAGCAAACCGGGGTTCACCAGATGGCTGATGGACCAGTTTGCCTGGGAGCAACATAGGTCTCCCAGCCCCATTCCTGAAGGTTTTCATTCAGTAGACTTCAGGTGGGGCTAAGGAGCCTAGAAAAAAAAAATGAGGAGGGGGTTGGGCTACCCTCGCGGTGCTCAGGGCTTTCTCCAGGCTCTGGGCCAGGATCACCCCAGGTAGTGCTCTGTGTGGTCTTGAGGATCAAAGCAGGTCAGGTGCCTTACCTGCTGGACCTGCTGTACTATCTCAAGATCATTTTTGAAGAAGGTTTTTATTGTGGGGGCTACGTTTGGTAGCACTCATAGGGAAGGAGTGTGGGGTACCGGGTACGGATATCAAACCCACGACCTTATTTACACATGGCCTTCCAGCTCAGGGATCACTCCTGGTTGATGCTTGGGGAACTATATGGGGTTCTGGGGAATCAAACCCAGGTTAGCTGCATGCAAGCAAATGCCCTTCACTGTACTATCACCCCGCCCTGAATTTTTTTTTCTTTTTTCAGTTTTTGGGCCATACCTGACTGTGCTCAGGACTTCTAGCTCTGTACTCATAATTACTCCTGGCAGGCTGAGGGGACCATATTGGTGCCAAGGATTGAACCCTGGTCAGCCACATGCACAGCAAGTGACTTACCAGCTGTATTATCTCCCTAAAAATCAGGTCCCGTTTCCCCCCCCCCAACCTGATTTGGGTGTATGGGGGAGGGGGAGGTGGGAATGCCCTACCTAGTGTATTGTCACTCTGGCCTAAAAGAATCTCAATTATGAACAAGCTCTTATGCAGCTCTCTCTTCACCAGACTTTGGAGACATAATTAAGTAGATATTTTGATTTTTGTGTCAAACCAAACCATGGGCTTACTGCATGTATATTAATAAAAAAAAAAGCTTCAACTGCTTTTACCCTTCTGGAGCTATTCCATCTTCTGCAGCACTTTCCGTTCATGAAGTACATGTGAGAGGGATTATTCCCATTTTACAGATGAGCAAGTAAGTTTTTTTTAAAAAGGAGACATTGCCCTTTTCTGTAAATGTGTAGCTTGTCAAGTGCAATTCACCTGTCTCAGCATCTGTGGAACACCCAAGTGAGGTTCTTGAAGTGAATTGGGACTAAATAGAATGTGACTTAAGGAGGATATGTGTGAAATGGGGTAGAGTGGCCCCCAGAGGGACAGTACACGGGTTAAGGATACTTGCCTTGCATTCACACATCTCTGGTTTGATCTCTGGCAAACACTGTCAGGTGTAGCCCAAACCAAACCTTTCCCCCTGAAAAAAGGGAATGTGTTGGGGAATGTGTCCTGTCTGCTCTGAGAGTGTCTCTGAGCCTTGACTGCACTGTGCACAGAGCAGGAGTCCTGGTATGTGGAATTATCTAGTTATTTAATTTGGGAGCCACATCCAGCCCTGTGCTCAGAATGACTCCCGACAGGACCTGGAGAACTATGCAGTACTGGGGATGCAACCTGTCTCCTGCATGCAAGCATGCTCTCGGCTTGTGAGACACTCTCTCCACCCATAAATTTCCTCGTTTAGTCCTGGTAATGGGTTCCTACTGTTCTCATTTTGGGGTGAGGTGTTTTCTTGCATCTGTGGTATAGAGCTCTGCTTTTTTGTTTGTTTTGTTTTTGAGCCATACCCAGCAGTGCTCATGGGTAACTCCTGGCTCTGCACTCAGAAATCATGCAATCACTCCTGGCAGCTCGGGGGACCAGCTCTTAGGATCGAACACAAGTTAGATGTATGCAAGGCAAATGCCTTACCCTCTGTGCTATCTCTCCAGTCCCAGGGCTCTGCCTTCTTGCCAGAAAAAGGGATGCAGGATCGTAGGGCAAGGTGTGGGCCTCCAGTGTTGCCTTTGAAGGTCGGTTATTATAGCCAGAGCTTACAAGCCAGTTTCTCTGGATGATCTTGTGTTCCATGCTGCTGACATTTGGCACCCAAACAATGATGAGAACAAGCTCAAATCAAGTATCAGTGTTCAGATAATCCCTTTCAGCTTTGGTGATAATGCTATCTCCACTACTTCCAAAATGGAATTCCATTTTATTTCATTCTCTGACTCAATGAGGCTTTCCAGGCATCTTTATGAGAAAGGTACCACTTGAATTGGAACAGTGACTCATGTGGGAGGCCTGGGTTTGATCCTGGCACTGCATGATCCCCTGTGCTCTTCCGGGTGTGGTTCAACCGCAAAACACAAAAGGTAACATAAAACAAAATTAGAGTCATGTTCTGAATCTCTTGATACCTTTTCTTTGCCTCTTTTTTTTAAATCTCAGTTCCTCTAAACAACTGAGATCAGCAAAGTTCTCAATATGTATAGCACATGCCAGTTTAAGGTCTAAAAATAACCCAGAGCCTGTTAACTCCTTCACCAGTCTGACTGATAGGATTAAGCGTTTTCCTCCCTTTGGGAGGTTCTGATTCATACACAGATGTGCACACCCACATGCACATGAGCACAATCGAACCTCCTTCCTGCCATAGCCTTGCTCACTCCCCGCTATATATGGGCAGGTACTCAAGAGTAGAGTACGTTTCCATACAAGAGCAGTTGCTTTTGTTGAAGCATCTAAGACTATGAAGTCATAGGAATGTTCAGTTTTAAGTATTTTCAGATGGCTGACAGTTTTTACTAATTTGTCTGCAGCGTATGGATGTGGCAGGAGTCGTGTTTCCCCACGAGGGCATTATAGAAATAAGAATAATAACTCTGCTTTATTTTTTTATTAAAAGGGACCTGAAATATGTAATATAGTCATCAGAATGCTCATCCAAAATACAGAACTCTTTTAGAGCTAATACTATCATCATTTAAGCTAGGATGAGATACAAATTTCCAGCTTAGAATAATATGTGGGGGAAGAGTAGAAATCTTTCTTTCTTGCTTACTCCTGTCTCTACGAGCTCAGGGATGACTCCCGGTGGGCCTTGGAGGATCATATGGCATGTGGGTGATTAAACCCAGGTCAGCCAAATGCAAGGCTCTACCCACTATACTATCTCTCTTGGAAATCTTTGTGATTCGTCTCTTACATGGATTTTTGAGTTGTCATGTGCTAGGCAGCATGTTCCTTCTAGAGAGATTTCTGAGCACAGTGATGTAAGCGTTTTTCAGACCACAGCAAAAAAAAAAAAAGAAAAGAAAAAAAAACCTAAGGCATTTCCACACAGAATTTAGTGATTTGGTATTTATTAAATGTCAACACTATGGAAGAAGAATAAATAGAAGACTAGAAGAGAAAATAAATTTCCTGAGTGAATCAGATGATACAGTACAGAAAGTAGCACTCCTCCTCAATGTTTTATCTCATACCAAATTGACTTAGAAAGATAAATTAAACTTTCCTACCAGCTCGTAATTTTTTTCACAGTCATCATTGGTGATACCAACTAGGAGTAGCAGAATAGCAGATGTTAAAAGGAATATAAAATGAACTAATAGAAAACCTGTACATTAGAGTTACTTAGACTTCGGAAAAATTATTTCATTCAATAGCGTCGTAAAAGGAATATCTGACATGGCACATACAATTACTGAAAAAAATGTTAAATTGACTCTTATGCAGATATCTGAAGACAGTCAGAAGTGAGTATGTAAAGGGCTGGAGAAGTAAGTGTTAGGAATAATCTCATTAAATACCTAGATAATCAGGCCCATTTAAAATTATTTTGAAGGGGCCACACCCAGTGGTGCCCAGGGCGTTTTCTTGACTCTGTGCTCAGAGATCACTCCTGGCTAAGCTCAGGGGACTATATATGATGCTGGTGATTAAACCTGGTAGACCATGTGCAAGGCAAGTGCCTTACCTGCTGTACTATTGCACCAGTCTGTTGATTTAATTTTGTCTGCTTTGGACCACACTCCAGTGCTTAGGGCTTTTTAACTTCTGGCAGGGCTCAGGGGACCATATGGTGTGCCACAGATTGAACCCAGATTGGCGACATGCAAGGCAAGTGCCTAACTGGCTGCACTATCTCTCCAGCCACTCATTTTAGGGTTTTTTTTCTTTTTATTGGCTTTTTGGGTCACATCCGACGATGGCTTTTACACTCAGGAATTACTCCTGGCAGTGCTCAGGGGACCATATGGGATGCTGAGAATCAAACCCGTGTCAGCCTCATGCAAGGCAAACGCCCTACCTGCTGTACTGTCGCTCCAGCCCCTCATTTTAGCTTTATAATATCACCTTTGCCCTAATCTAACCAGGCTTTCCTTGTCCTTTGCTAAGGAAACCCATTGGCAACAGGTGAATTTAAGATTTCCTCATGAACTTGGAGTTCCCCCAGAATTTAGGGCAGGAAGGAAGAGCAAAACCCTATATTTGTGAGAGTAAAACTACTGTTAAAATGTGTCATTGTTAGGCATTTTTTATGAGGCAGATACCTGTCCATTTACATAACATGATACCTTATTTATCCATCTCAATAGCAGAATGCTGTAGGTATTTATTCCTTTCTCCAGGCAGAGAAATAGAAGTGATAAGCAACTTGTTGAAGGTCACACAGCTAAAAAAATGACAATAGGATTCAAATCTAGAACTTACCCAAATCCTAAATTGCTCTTAAGCATTCATTTCTTTTTGTTTCTTATTCTTTTCTTTCCTCTTTTTTTTTTCTTACTGCTTATCTTCCATCTTTCCTTTTCCCTTTCTTCGTGTATTCCTTTGAACCCTGGGCAGAGAACCTTTAAAAAACAAAAGTTTTTGGATCATACCCAGCCATGCACCAGGTGTTAGTTAACTTCTGGCTCTACATTCAGGAATTACCCCTCGATGCTC